AAATGCAAATGAAAGTAAGAAAGTTCAGTTGTCTCGTGAAAAAGCATCTTTGGGATAACTGAACTGGATGACTGAGAATCTCTATAGACATTTCCATTTAAAGCAGTGGTTCTCAACCTGTGGGTCGGGACCCCATTTGGGGTTGAATGACCATTTCACAGGGGTCGCCAAACCATGCTGTCTGCCATTTTTTTCCCTTTTCCCTAGCTGTCCTAATCCCTCTTATTGGTGGCCACACCCACTTGGGGGTCACCACAACATGGGGAACTGTATTATGGGGTCACGGCATTAGAAAGGTTGAGAATCACTGATTTAAAGAAACCAACAAGCAAGCTTATTTGATGCATGAACTGGATCTGCAATCAGAACGAATTATACTAATTATATAAAATAAGATATGTTTAATTCTTTCCCCAGGCTTTTGAATGTTCTCCCTCATGAGAGGGAAATGCATGTATAGTTTGTTTTTGTCCATGTGGAAGCTTGACAGACCACAGGAAGAATAAAGCAGCCACATGATCAGATTTTTAGATAGGTTAATAGCAAACTCTCATGGGTCTAAGAAACTGAATTTAGGCCTGGTTTGAGGACAAAATTAGACTTGGTTTCCCCAACAAATGTCCTATAGACTGAAACAGGGAGACTGCAACTATATTGATGGTGTTTAATCTCTCAGCAGTTTTAGATAGAATTAATCAAAATTTGCTCCTCCATTTCTGTGTGAGTTTGAAACTGGGGGCAATACAATATTGTAATTCCATTCCTAATGCAAGAATGCTTCAGAAGCTAATACTGGGAAACTGTACTTCTGCATACATATCCTGATGACCCTCCGCTCTACTTTTCCATAACATCTGAATGAGCAAATATTCTGCACTATTCTCACTGTACAATAAATTCAATGAGTACCAATACATTCAGGCTGAATTCTGATAGGACAGAGACTATGTGCTGTCTAAATACAAAAATTGGGAGGGAGGTGTTCTAGATTAGCATATACACAGTGATTACATGACTGTGGGGATGTTGTGATGGTTGTGGGAGGACCTGTCGTAAATCACTTTTTTCAGTGCCATTTTAATTTTGAACAGTCATCATATGAATAGTTGTAAGTGGAAGACTGCCTGTGTAAGTATTTTATGCAGCACCCATGTGATATATCCAGGGTCCTCAACCTTGGCAACTTTAAAACTTGTGGACTTCAACTTCCAGAATTCTAAGAGTCGAAGTCCACAAGTCTTAAAGTTGCCAAAGTAGAGGACCCCTGTGATACATGAACATTCTTAACATTTTCAACAGCTATCTTTCTGATTATCCTTTTTGATAAGAGTTGAGTTTTCATGTTTCTGTTCTTTCATGCCCCTGAGATTTTCTCACTACCATTCTTGCTCAAAGAGGCCAACATATAATATATTCCAACAACCATTTAGAAATCAACAAAATATTTTTATTTCCCCATTTCCCTCTATATGCAGTATAGAAGAATATTCATCTTTTCACTGAGAGTTGAAATTTTTTTATCTTCTTAAATATAATAAGCATACTAACTTTGGTTAGTATACAGGTAGTCCTCAACTTATAAACACAACTGAGCCAAAAATTTCTGCTGCTAAGACAGACAGTTATTAAGTGAATTTTGCCCCATTATACAACCTGTCTTGCCACACTTGTTAAGTGAATCACTGCAATTGTTAAGTTAGTAACAGAATTGCTAAATGAATCTACTTCCCCATTGACTTTGCTTGTCAAACAGTCGCAAAACGTAATCACATGACCCTAGGACACTGCAACTGTCATAAATATGAGTTGCCAAGCAGCTGATTTTTGATCATGGGGATTCTGCAATGGTTGTAAGTGTGAAAAACAGTCATAAGTCACTTTTTTCAGTGCTGTTGTAACTTTGAATGGTCAATAAATGAACTGTTGTAAGTTGAGGACTACCTGTACTAGCCATGTCCTTTCTTAAACAGAGATAAGATATTTCTGCTTGTTCTTTTTGCATATAAGACCCTAAATAACTTGAGATCAGAATTCCTGGCAGATTCCCTTGTATGACACAGACCTGATACAGACCTTACTAAAGCTGTGAAATGAAGTCCTGTTATTTCTGTCACAACTATCAGGCTGTAACCTTATGGTTAGGCAGCTGATCAGATTTCTTCACAGTCATATCCACTCCATTCCAGCCAGTTATGGAATGCTTTCTAAATAATTATATCAATAATCAGCAGAGATCTAGCTGTCACAAACCAGTACTTGGACAGTGTAGGCTTTTTGTGATAGTGTAGGCTTTCCAGCAATTCTGATGCAGATGATGATGATAATCATATCGATATTACAACAGATAATTTAATATAATATTTACATTAGATAGTGATGTATTTTCAGTTATAATCTTTAAAAGTAACAGAATTATTCACATTCACTTCATTTATTTGACAAAAAAGAATTACTGAATAGGTATGTATGAATAAAAATGTTTTCCGATCAACAATATTTTCCTTATATTTGTTTCATTTAAAAAAGAAGCAGATCTCAAATTTTCTCTGCATTTTCTGCTACAAAAGCAACATAATGTACAAAGAAACTAAGATTTTTTTCTTTTGCTAAAGCTGAATTTGAATAGAGATCCCTTTCCTTAGACAACAATGAAAAAATTCCCAAATAAAGGACAAGATCTGCACTTACTCTTGGCTGTGAAGTGCTCTCAAATTAAATCAGTTTGAAGTGGTTTTCATTAAGATGGATTGAGTGTGGCATCGTGAGAAACACTTTATCAAATGCAGTGTTTTACTTAGTGATTAACTATATACCAGTTGATGAAGCTCCTCAAATCCTTCATAATCCCACCACTCCAATAAACATTTAATGAGCATATAAGTTCAAAAAGCCCAGCAGAGGATTTAAACTTTCAATCTTGTTTTTATTTACTCTTCCAACTCAATTTCTCACTTCAAGTTAAGATTGCTATTGCTTGAAGCTCATCTGTTGCCCTGGTAAAATTAAGTCCCCTGCACATCAGGACAAAACATATAGGTTCAGATTATAGTTTTTGCAGAGATAGAATAAGAGAAGATAGATAGATAGATAGATAGATAGATAGATAGATAGATAGATAGATAGATAGATAGATAGATAGACAGACAGACAGACAGACATTCTTTTTTAAATAAAGTTGCTAATGTTCAAAAATATTGCTAAAGAAACCTCTTCAGAAAAACTGCAATCATAAAGGACAATGAATAGTAATAATACGACAAACCTGCGATGCATCAATTTACTTTTTTTACTCTGTAATTGTTATATTAATCTTCAGAATAATAAATATCACACAGGGAATTAAGTATTCTCAAATATTTAATCCCTTGGGGAAGAAAAAGTGTACAATTTTTATTGATGTTTACAAGTTTTTACAAAATGAATATATGCTGTTAGAATGCATGCAAATGATCAAGGTTGACATTTCTGTAATATTACGTTATATTTAAATATTTAGATTTTTGATTGTGTATAGTAAATATTTTTCCCTTGGATCTTAATGGGTGGAATCATCGCGATGCTTGTTAGATATTAAGACACTGAGTACTGAGAACAAAAAAAAAAAAAAAGGATGCTGTTTGAGATTGATTAGCCTTACATTAAGCATCTAAGCTATTCTGTACTTTATATGTAAATAGGGATATTAATTCATTTATTATATATAAACTATTTATTGTGTATGAGGGCCAGTTTGATGTAGGCATCAAGCTAGAAACTGGGAGACTGTGACTTGTAGTTCTGCCTTAGGCACAAAGTCAACTAGTGATCTTGGCTTAATCACTCTTTCACCGCTCAAGGAAGTTGGCAATGGCAAACCACTTCTGAAGAACCTTACCAAGAAAACTACAGGGATTTGTCCAGGCAGTTGCCTGGAATTAAAAACTGATTCAAAGGCACACAAAAAAACCCCAATTTCATCAAATATGTAATTAAGATATTCTTACATTTTACAGTATAATAATGTACAACTTTGAACTTTCTCCCATGGTAATAATGAAACTCAGAATATTAATTTATTTATTATGCAAAAAAATCCACAGCTTTCATCTCATTCTTCATTACTGTCTCAGAAAAGATACATATGCTTTCATAAGCAACTTTCTGGGAACACAAAACTGTTCTACCGGCTATCTAATGCTACCATGTTTCCCCGAAAGACCTACCCCAAAATTAAAACCTAGCTTGATTTTTAGCGGTGGGCCTTATATAAGGCTTACACCAAAAATAAGCACACACCTAAAAACCAAGCTAGGGTGGAGCTTACCGTTGCAGTCTGGCCTCCCATGAATCGACACTTGCCTTACCTCGTCCCACTTTTTCTGCAGCTGAAAGAGTAGCTTCATTCTGCAGCTGAAAATGGAGCTCTGGCTTGCATTTTGCAGTCAGAGACCTTTCTGGAAGGCTTATATAGCCGAAAACCAAGCTATGGATTCAATCCATAGCTCGGTTCTTAGCTGCAGAGGCCTTTCCAGAAAGGGCCAGCTGGACGGGGCTGTCGGTGCTGCTGCTGCAGAGTGAGTGGAAAAGACCCCCCTCCCCGAAAATAAGACCTGGTGCCTCTTTTGGAGGAAAAAAATAAGACTGTGTCTTATTTTCGGGGATATACGGTATTACTGATATTTCTCCATTGAATGAAGACTCTTTAATCCAGTGAAAATCAAGCATTTTTCAGAAAATTAGCTTTCATTTTTGCAGTCCTTTGCATTATTTCCCAGATTGTTTCAACAATCTGGGAAGGGATGCAGAAGACAGTGGATTAGCCAAAAATTAGTCCTTTCCAATCGATGGCACAATTGATGGCAGAAGCCATAACCAATTCAAAATGTTTTTGTTACTGAGCGAACACTACTCCATGTCCCAATTTTCAGAAGAGACCTAGCAGCAGCAGCATTAGCATAAAACTGCAAAGTAATTTAGAAGACATTGCCATCTGAATAATATAGTATTTAAAATGTACTTACATCTCTAGCTTTCCCATAGAATGCCTCTTGAAAGGCAGCTTCTAAAGATCCAATAAAAAATACTGGATGGCAATCACCGTATCTGTTTCAGTCCAAAATGTTTCAATTAGTTTTTTTATAGTTTTTAATAACAAAAAGACAATACTATTTTTCCCCAAAATCACATATCCATAATAATAATTCCATCATAATTATTATATAATATCTGTATATGTAATATACATTCATTGAAAATTTTTTTTAAATTTCATACTAAATAACACTGTAAAATTGAGCACTGGAAAGGGGATAAGGACTTTTATTCTTCATTATAAAAAAGACTGACATTTTTAGAAATCTGAAATTGACATGGCTCCATTGAGGCATTCTTTTAATTCAGCAATTAGTGTAAGCCTTCATGTTAAAGAATAGTTCTTTAGTTGTTTAATTCTTTTCTCAAAGATAGTGGTGGATTTAATAAGGGTAAACTTAATGGAAAATGCAGTTTTTTTATTTATTTTAAATTAGTTTCTTTACTAGACCATACAGCCAATGACCAGCAAGTAAAAAAAACAATTACAAGAAAATAAGATATAATGAAAATATAATACAAGACAAAAAGAAAACAGAAGCCTAAAATTATAGCATATCAGAGAACTGGTAACAAGATATCAACAGCATCAGTGGAAAACCAGCCTTTTACTTCTGATTGAGATAGCAGCCAATAAGAATGTAGCCTCTCTGTTTGCAATAAATGGGTTCTGATCCTGCACGAGGCATAGAGCTTCTCTCTCAGAGTAGAACTGAGTTATATTAAAAGTGGATATTAAAAAGGTAGAGTGTACAACGTCATAGAAGAGACGGTGGGGGGAAATGGGAAAAGTTGAAAATACTCAAACTGCAAGGACATTCTCTTTACAAAAGGGATTTTCTACTTCCTCCCTTCCAATACTTGAAATGTTGAAATGGACAAGGCAAAAACTGTGTAGCAAAAGCAAGACTAAACAGATACTTAGCAGGAACAAGGTGGTTCTAGTCTGTGACTAAATTGGTTGTAATCAGTGAGAATCACCAATAACCCCTAGATCCAACTATCCTGCTGCATTATAAATTCACTGGCAGGTTTCTGTCCTGATTTTCTCTAAGCCTAAAGAACTACATTCAAAGAGAAACTATAGAAACTTAAATTGGAAAAATGTTTGACTTCAGTTGTTAAGGGGAATTGTCAAAGAGCATGAAGGGGGTCAGTGAAGAAAAAAATTAACTAGTAAGAGAGGTGACAAGTGCAGGCTGTTTCCTCAAGGAGAAACATTCCTAATTCAACACATATCAGAGCATTTGAGATACGACTGAAAGAGAGTGGACAAATTCTTGGACTGGACAATCTCTAAGTATTGAAGATGTTATAAATGCATACTTATGCACTATTAAACATCTTTGAAACAGGTTTAAGCTTTAAACAACTTTATGGAGCAGGGAAGCAACACCCCCAGATCCCAATATGTCTTGGTGCTCTTATTACCTTTGTCAGATATAGCTTAATTTGCTCCTGCCAGGTTGTAATCCTGGAATATAACGGTCAAATATTTAAAGGCAGAAGCTTATTCAATGTGATGATTATCAATGCAACAATGGTGTTTTCAGCACCTCTGTCTCTGAGAATACCATAATTTAGCTTTAGAATAATTAATTGTGAACTTTTCCTCCCTTCAAAAATCTGCCAATACCCAAAGACTTCTAAGGGTAATCTGAGAAAGTGAAAGGATTGATGTATCAATTGTATAAAAGCAGCATTACAAAATATCTTGTTTTGAGTTTGTGTGTTTGTATGTGTAAAAGTTTCGTTTGGTTAAGGCTGTTATGATAGGATTCAAATAGGTATTACATTGAAGGGGGTCCTGTTTCACCCCTTTACTTATTGGGATATCTGTAATAAGGTACCCAGCATTGTCATATGTAACCTGGCTGATGGTATTTTCATGTAACATCTTGATTAGATAGAGAAGCCATTGATCTATAAAGATGCATGATAGCATTTACAAGAGCAGGTCACCTGAAATGGATCTTCAATAAGGTTTACTTGGGACATCAGGATGGACTCAACAGTTGGTTCCTCTCATTAGGTAATACTGCCATAAATTGGCCTCTGGGGAGGAATATGCTTCTATGTCTGGTATCTGTTAGCAGTTGAACTGAAGGATACTGACGACAGCTTTGGTGTGCTCAGTGTTCTGATCAGGAAAGTGAGATTTTGTAAGAAATGCAAAGTCTGTTGATTGCAGGTGAGTTTCAGATGGATTTGCAGTTAGCTTCTAGGTACAGTCCTACTTTAAAAGTCTCCTTTTGGTGTAAGAAGGCTGCAAGAGATTGAGTCATCATCCGTGCCAATCCTTCTAACTTAAAGAGGAATTCAATTATCTGAAAAGTTCTCATTCTTGAAGCAAGGATGGGAATGCTGAAAAAAGGTGAACTATTTTCTGACCAGGATGACTTGGAAGCCAGGTAACTTGTATTAAGACTATTGTTTGTAACTGGCAGTAAAGAGCTGCCTTAAGGCAGTGTTTCTCAACCTTGACAATTTTAAGGCATGTGGACTTCAACTCCCAGAATTCCACAGCCAGCACTGCTGGCTGTGGAATTCTGGGAATTGAAGTCCACATGCCTTAAAATTGTCAAGGTTGAGAAACACTGCCTTAAGGTGTAGCAAAAAGTGCCCTCGGAAGTCCATCTTGCAATATTAGTGTTATTAGTTAGGGCTGTTAAAAGTAATTGTCTGTTTCTGTAAACAAGAAATGAGTCCTTTCATAGAGGGGACATCAAGGTAATCATCTTTTTGTGGGTGTCAGCCCCTTGAAAAGTTAAATATACTGGTGCCTCAACTAGGAGGCAAGAAGGCGAAGTTTCTTTGATAGTGAGCTAATAATATATGCCTAGAGGACTTAGAGAATTGCATGTTATTCAGAAAATGCACATTTTAAAAAATCTTCGGGCAAAGGAGGATATTTCAAAGTGGCAAAATATGTAGTTCATTGAAAATATATTTTTAAATATTACTCAAACAAAGTTTCCAAATATTCACATATTTGTTCTGCCCCTTTGTTAAATATATGAATTAATCTTAATAACAGATCTTCAAAGTGAAATCTTCAAAACCAAAATATCAAAACTCTGAAAAAATGAACTGCATGGAGTCACATTAGCTAAATAAACTTCTCTCTATTTATTTATTTGACCGGATTTAGAGACCGCCCAACTTCCAACAATTCGGGGTGGCTTGTGTTTTTAATGGTAGGAAACCATTAAAGGAAAGGGAGGGGAAAAAAGTCTTGTTCTGACAGAAAAAAATCTTTTTTAACTTGGCCAACCTGGAAAGAGTAGATAGAACATAAGTAGAACCTCCAAGAAGATTGCAACCAGAAAAAAAAATTCATGAAATAGATTGTTGCTCAATTCCAACACGAAAAAACACCTTTCATTGTCTGAAAGCCATTTATTTCTATGCCAAGTAGAGGAGACTGACACTGAGAAGCAGAATGCAATGAGCTGGCCTGTGGTTTCAGATCTTATTCCCATGCTGAAGTGTGTGACAGGGAAACGAAAAGAAAAATAAATGGAAGGCTCAAACTGAAAATGAACTATATTTTAGATTTGCAAGTCCATTTCTCACGGAAAGGCATTGGAACTTTCAGGTCTCTACCTGATATTTTGTTACATTATATCAGCGGTTCTCAACCTATGGGTCGCGACCCCATTTGGGGTCGAACGACCATTTTACGGGAGTCGCCAAACATGATCCGCCATTTTTCCCCCTCAGGGGGCAGCGCCGCACATGCGCGCCACACATGGTGGCGGCCCGTGCATGCCCACCGCGCATGGGGGCGCCCCGTGCATGCGCGCCGCGCCGTGCATGCGCGCCGCGTCCGTGTGACGGGGTCGCCGTCACACAAAGGTTGAGAACCGCTGCATTATACAAACAAATACTGCACAAAATTTAAGCATGGTATATGCATGTATTAGAATTCGTTGGGAGACGCTTGCTACCCTGTTTTGTGCAAAAGGAAGCAATGGTGATGATGATGATATACATGTATAGATTGTACTTAGTTATAAATCTAACCTTGAAGAAAATTCTGCTGTGAATTGTAATAAGGCATCTCCTTCATTTTCAGCATTTTCCGGCACTACAGAAGGAAAGGAAAATATTGCAAGTAAATCTTAACACGCACATTTAAAATATTTCCTTTACCATTTAGCCAAGTTTTATGCTAGCTCTGCTTATCTGTTTAATGAAAAGAAGATGAACTATTCTTTGAAGATGAATGAACGAATACAATGTCAATACTATAATCTGAAAATACTAAGCAATCTATAAGTGGCATAACTTGATACAATAACTGACGTCCCTGTAAGCAACTGAACCCAATTTAAGGTGCTAGTATTAGCCTATAAACAGAAAATGACTTATTACAAAGATTGCCTTTTTTTCAATAAAATACAAAATGTACATTAAGATTAACTGGGAAGGTCCTGCCTCTAGTGCAGTGTTTCCCAAACTTGACAATTTTAAGGCATGTGGACTTCAACTCCCAGAATTCCACAGCCAGCATTGCTGGCTGTGGAATTCTAGGTGTTGAAGTCCTCATGCCTTAAAATTGTCAAGTTTGGGAAACACTGCTCTAGTGGCTCCAGCTTATAATGCAGAGCCATGAGTTGAATCTTCTCTACAACAGTGTCCCAATTACGGCACTTTCTCCAAGTGATAATTAATTGTCTTCTTTCAGAAACCAACTGAAAGCATGACTGTTCATAGACATAGCCCTAAAAATTACCCACGGCGTTTAAGCTACCCCTCCCTCAACTATTTCCTGGCTTTTAACCATCTTGGCTGATGAAAACTTATCAGAAACTTAAAATCTGCACTATTGTTATTTTCTCAGCTGTCATTTGGGTTATTTATAATTTGATATACTGTGATAAAGCGTTGTAAGCAAGTTATGTATTCGGACTGGGCGGCACAAAAATTCAATAAATAAATAAATATAAATGGAATTAATTAATTAATGATTATGTAAAACATTAGTAGACATAAAATATGTATTTCTTCTATTTTTAATACTATACTATAATAATGTCATATTCTGTTAAAATATGTGTTATAATGAGAAGATCAGCAGAACACAGGAGCTACTGAAATGTATTATAGTGTCTTATGGGAGGAAGTTGATGCATATGACGACCAACTTCAGCTAAAGAACTGGCAGCTTTGATGTCACATTTTTGTATATAGAATAATAACAAAATAGAAGAGAAAGAATTGGAGAAAATCGTAAAATACAAATACCTACAAATAGAAATAGAACGACAATAGCAAAAAAAGCAAAGATAGTACTGATAGTAAAAGGTGCATTGGATGCATCCAAAAACATCTGGAGCATCATTTGAACACTATTAGAACTGACAACATCACTATCAGTCAGATGCAAAATGCAGCAATGTGAAAAAAGTCGTGATACATCGCAACACGTCACATGATGCGACGAGTTTGACACCCGTGGCTTACATCATGCAACAATTCCTGTTACACACCATGAAACAACTTCTACCTATCCCAGGTCCTTGTGAAGGACATAATAAGTGGATAAAAATGCCAAAGTCAGTCTAATGCTATATGACCAACCATAGTAATAATAATTGTACAAGTGGACAAAATGCCAAATACGGTCTAAACATCTGGCTGATTGTGCAATCAGCAATAACTGTACTGGTAGAGTTGCTTGATGGCAATATGTGCAGCATATAAATTTGCTAAATAAATAAACAATATAATATAATACAATACCATTACCTATAATGGTTATTAATTTGTATTTGAAAATTAATACACCCAATTAATAGCTTTTTAAGTCAACCAAAAGGCTTTTTTAAAATATCTATTCAATAAATTAACAGAATAAAAATTTCAAACAGATATAGGTAAAATTTATTCACTAAAAATGTAAGTTTATTTGATTTAACCTAATCTGTTAATAGCAAAAAAATATAAGACTCTGCCATTACTAATATCACAATAAAAATAGCATTCAGTGAAATAATCATGTTTATTCGTGACCTTAAATAATTTTTGTTATTAATGATAATTCCTAAAAATCTCATTCCCATTTACTGGTTATTTGCCCAGAACACATTTATATAATTTGCAACTTCATTTCCTTCTTTTTTTAAAGTTAATTTTGTATAAGAAACAGATTATATTCTCTATTATCTCTATTATATCACCTTAAGAAAGTCACACTGTAGTCTCAAAAAGTATGTACAAAATCATTGAACACTGAAAAAAACAGTGTTCTCCCTATCCGGTTTGTCCAAAGATGGGCTTATACTATTCACAATACATAGTAATACTTACTCATTGGAGATTTTCTCAGTGCAGATGATGCCATACCAAACATCTCTCCATCATCCACTCCAAATTCAGTAGCATCTTCAAAATCATCTCCATCACTGTCACTAACCATATGTACATCTGTGCATTGCTAATTTAGTAAAATTGATAATAATAAGCCAATTATTGAACAAACAAATGTCAATAGTAAGTTTCCATATTTAAATATAAATGTCACCAAATTTTCATTCAAAATCTTGAAATAAAATTTCATTTTATTTTCTAATAAGTAAGAAAGAAGCATGCATATTTTTTGAAAATCAGTGCAAATAATATAAGAAATTTTAAGTTTTTTTGAATTTTAGCAGTTATTTTTTATTTATATACTAAAGAAATATTATTACACTAATGTCTTATTCTTTAATTTCATTGTAACATTTTTATCAAATAATATCAAACAGCAGATATTATGCCATAAGGTCAAAGATAAGGCAAAAATTAGACATATAATTTCATTTTCAACAAAACTTTAATAAAAGTTTATCTGCCAACTGTGTGGGAAGAAGGGGTTGTCTTACCTCTTCTGATTGTTCTCTAGTTTGTGCTGGTGAAGACCTCCTTCCAACTGTAAGTCGATGGCAAGGATAAGAGATTCCTGAGGCTGCTAAAGTAATCTAAACAGAAGACATGTATTATTGAATTATCTATCAGATTTTGTTAAGCATCAAAAATCAAACTGCAGTAGACGTAAATATCAAGATACATTCTTTTTAAAAAATAAGAGCATTTTCAACCCTCTCCTTTTCATAGAGAGACCATAGGAATCTAAGATGAGAAGAAAAATGTTCAGAGAAAGGCAATAGCATAGCAATAGCAATAGCAATCTAAAACCAATGGGGTTGTCAGTGCTTCTATAATAGATTTTGTTTTGCAGTTAAGTATACTACTGTTGCTGTTAAGAAAAATCAAGCTTGTGATTAGTGCCATACCATGTGCACTAATCAAACAAATGGTAAGGCTGAAGAGGAACTCAGACACAAAACTGGTTATGTAGAAAATAAACACTGGGTCAATCAAAAAAGACTCAAATGCCTATACACCAATGCCTAAAGTATGAGGAATAAACAGGGTGAATAAAAATCCAAGTACATGAGGGCAGATATGATATCACTGCCATTATGGAAACTTGGTGGGATGAAACCCATGAACGGACTACACAGCTACAGGGATTTAAATTGTTTGAAAGGAACAGACCCAATGAAAGAGGAGGTGGAGTTGTGCTATATAATATATAGAATAACTATATCTCTACAGAAATACAGCAGAATAATGATGAAAACCATCTTGAATGCATTTAGATCAATATAAAAGGAAAAAGGAATGACATTGCCACAGGTGTATACCACAGACCACTTAACCAAATAGAGGAAATAGATGAACTTTTGCTATTCAGTTAACTAAAGTATGTAGGAAGCACACCACAACAGCAATGGGGGACTTTAACTACCCTGACATCAACTGGAGGACAAACTTTGTACCTAGTAGAAGGTCAGACAGATTTCTGACAATCTTAGCAGAAAACTCTGTCTCCCCAAAAGTAGTGAAGAGAACTAGAGAGTCAGCCATACTGGATTTAATTCTCACTAACAGAAACAAAATGATAGAAGACATTGAAGTATAGGAACCTTGGGGGGAGTGACTATGAAATATTGGAATTCAACATTATACAAGCACAAGCAATAAACCAAAGTCAAACTAGAGTCTTGGACTTCAAGAGAGCTGATTTCATTAAAGCCAGATACAGCCTGAAAAGGATTCCATGGATGAAAATCCTCAAGGGGAAAACAACCCAAGAAACTTGGGAAACTTTGAAAAGCTAGATTATATAAGCCCAGTCTAGCACAATGAAGAAGAAAAATAAGAGATCTCAAAAGAAGGAAACAATTGGTCCATTAATGGGAGAAAATGGCAAGAATGTGACAAGAGCATAGACAAAGCAGAACTGTTTGATTCATTTTTTGCATCTGTCTTTACACAAAAGGAAAAAAATAGTCCAACCTATAAAAAAAATCCTGTAAAATGCAGATTAGGAAGGCAAGTCAAAATAAGCAAGAAAAGGATAAGAGAACTCCTATTCATTCTAGATGAGTTCGCTGAACTATATTTTTCAAAGATCCTGGAGCACCCGGGAACTATCAGATGACTGGAAAAGGGCTGATGTAGTTCCCATCTTTAAAAAAGGAAAAAATGGATCCAGGAAACTACAGACATATCAGCCTGACATCAATACTTGGGAAAATCTAGAAAAGATGATCAAGCAAAGAATCTGAGAACATCTAGAGGCAAACAAAATCATAACCAAAAGCCCATGCAGGTTTTTCAAGCAATATCTCCATCAATGATTTAGACGAGGGGATAGAAGGGGAACACATCAAATTTGCAGATGACACCAAGCTGGCAACAATAGCCAACACTCCAGAAAATAGGCTCGAGATACAGAAGGATCTTGACAGACTAACACTGGGCCAAATCTAACAAAATGAAATTCAATGGTGAGAAAAGTAAGGCTCTACATTTAGAAAAACCAAATACAGATGTCGAATAGGTGGTATCTGGCTTAATAGTAGTAACTGCAAGAGGGATATTGGAGTCCTAGTGGACAACCACTTAAATATGAGCAGTGTGCAGCATGCCAAAAAAGCCAATGTAATTCTAGGCTACATTGATCAAAATCACGTGAAGTGTTAATACCACTTTATAATGCCATGGTAAGACCATACTTGAAATATTGCATCCAGGTTTGGTCACCATGATATAAAAAAGATGTTGAAACTCTAGAAAGAGTGCAGAGAAGAGCAACAATTAGGGGACTGGAGACTAAAACATATGAAGAATAATTGCAGAAAATGGTATGTCTAGTTTAATGAAAAGAAGGACTAAGAGTGACATCATAGCAATGTTCCAATATCTAAGGGGCTGCCACTAAGAAGAAGGGGTCAGCCTATTCTCCAAAGACCTGAAAGCAGGACAAGAAGCACTGGATGGAGAGAAACAATTTAGAACTAAGGAGAAATTTCCTGAAACTTAGAACAATTAATCAGAGAAACAACTTGCTTCTAGAACTTGTGGGTGCTCCAACAACGGACGTTTTTAAGAAGAGATTGGACAACCATTTGTTTGAAATGATATAGGGCTTTCTGTTTGAAAAGGTAGTTGGACTAGAAGACCTCCAAGGTCCTTTTCAAACCTATTATTCTGATAATCTGTTAAGATATAAGAAGGCAAAATGGGATGGGATAAAAGTACAGAAACTAAGTAAAATAAGGGATAAAGATATTGAATAGAATCAGTAGTAATGTTTTAAAGCTCTTATCAATGGAATATATCTAGATACTTCAGAAATTTGAATAATACACTGTAATTTGTGAATGTATAATCACCGTTTACCACTCTATGTATAGGAAAAATGTCATAGCTAAAAAAAACCTAAAATGTAGTTCTGTTCATCTACTGATGAATATAACTGGTTTCAGAAGATAAAGCTGGAAGCTGAAAGTTTGATGTTTAGCTTGGTCAGAATGAGCTGAAATAATTTCTTTAAAAAAAAAAACTTGCAACTATGTTCAGGTTCACTTTAGTAGAAAACCCCTTCTTTGTTGTATATATTTCCATTTCTTTGACACTCAAATGGATATATAACTATCTTAAGATATTTCCCCTGTTTCCTACCATGTAAATATATAGCCTTGGTTAATAAGCTGCTATGCGATCAAGTTCCTCCAGGTAAAAATGCACATATTATTAAAAATGAAGACATCAACAATGAATTGTGTCAAAATCAGTTTATTACAGTAACATTTTAAAATTGATTAATTTTTCCATTTAAAACACGGAAAATGTTCTACCTTCCATGTCACTCTATATATAACCCAAAGCCTGGCAAATACATTGGGAAAAACTCCTTTTTATTCCCAATTCAGGATATTTTTAATCACTTACGTGCTAGAACTCATAAAAGCCTTAATTTCCTTCAGGTTAAAGGAAGCTGATTAAGTGTGCTAACTAACCAAGTGAGTGTTGACCTGCCTGGACTAGCCTGTTGACACATTTTTGTAGCAAGGTTAAATAACAATTTAGTCACAATTTTAAAATCACAGAGTTAAAAGGAAATGACTATTTTTGAATAAATGAAATATTAATGCAGACATTTATGTCAAGCTCAATTATCAGTGAAACTCTTTCATACCTAACACAGAATCTACACTCACTTTTGCAGTGGTGACACTGCTATTTTCATCATGTTTTGTTCAGTATGTTATTGGGCTCTAGTATATAAAAATAAATTCCTCATATGAATTTTTGCCTATATAGCTAAATATATCCAAACCTTCTAAGTAGTACACTAAAAGTGAACACATTTAAGTACACTTGTCATTGTGATTAAGTAATTAGAGCCAAAATCTCACAATGAATAGCTTCTAATTTTCACTGGCTTTATCCAGATTTAGGAATGCTTGGTAGAATGAAGCTTAAATGACTAAGTATTATCAAACTGAGACTTACTCTATCTTTAAAAAGTAAGAGCATTTAAGAAAAGACAGACAAGTGAACATGGTGCTGGTCATTTGATGCCCCTTTGTTCCATAAGATCAATAGGTTTTTAGATAAAAACAGAATATTCTTTTTTTCTTTTTTATTCATATCTTACAAGATATGGAATTGGGAAGAGGGATCAGCTTGAATCATCCCTATATGATCAAATGTGAATTTTAACAACTAGAATTTTGAAATCAACGGAGTAATCAGTAAGCATTTTTAGATTAAAAGTTTATACAACTGTTTAGGGAAAGCTAACATGGCATTTAATATTGGGAGATAATTAAAATTTCAGAGTTATTACATTTTTATATCCATGTATCTGCAATATTAACATTTCAATTTTATACTTTTTAACACTTTAATCCATTAATGCATTTAATAATTATACTATCACTGCTAAAATAGCTGTTGTTAAAAATGACAACATTCAAAGCAAACTATGAATTTAAAAAAACCATTCCCACCCAATAAAAGAAAGACTAGATTTAAACAAAAATCCTTCATACTACCTAGGTTTACCAGTGATAGATAAAACTTTTTAAATGCCACTGAAATCAATCCTGATTTTTTTACTCCAATAAATATTTGCATGTAACCTACATGTGCATATGCATGCACAGACATGTGTTTATGTACAATGGCGACAAATAAGGGAAGTATTAAAGTAACATTAATTGAATTAATAACTATAATTAAAAGTAATCACCTGTAAAATAAAGCCATCTGTTTGCAAAACAATAGACATCCTATCTAAAAATCCAGCCTTAATAAAATTTTTAACACTCAAACTGGACCACTTCACTCTATCAGAGATTGACAGACTATGGAATTCTGGACTCAACAGGCATAAATCTTTATAAATCATATTGAGTTTTAGTGAGTTTCTGCAAAGGAAAATATCTTCATCTAGGAATACCCCACAAACTGAATTTTGGGAATTTTTTGAAGTATTGTTGTGAAGAACAACAATAAAGAAGGATTTCCTGCGCAGATAGAAATTCTCCATTCTTGCAGGGCTTCAAAATGAAGGTAATCTAATTTGATTTCACTACTTGCATCTCTGGTCTATTTATTT